TACTTGTATTGCTAGATAACAATGCTATAAGTAAGGGGCCATCCCTTCTTGTCACATGGAGACCTTCCAGAAACATGATGTAGATTAAGAAACACTGCGGCATAGCGGTCTGCTAATAAACCACTCTGCCAGTTCCCCAGAAAGTAGGCCTACATTAAAGTACACAAAGCCTTTTGCATAAACGTGCATGAACTGTGCAGCGGAAGTAGTCTGTTTTATGTCTCCTACTCAAAAATAAAAAGACCTTCACTTCAGTAAAATGATACAAAAAGGTGAAAGTAGCCTCGTACTGCACCAGCTCTGCAGTGTCCTGGAGTTTTTCATTCTTAAATGTTTAACTTTAAGAGTTTATGACAAGAGGGCGGGACTCATGGATTTGTGACGTACATGGCTTGTTATATGAGGTGCATCACTTATTAACAGGTTGCATTCGGTTTTTTCCACAGAAATGTGTTGAACCTGCATATTAGTTTTGTTGCTACAGAGTCCTAAAACTTCAAGGTCAAAACATAAAGAAGTTTTGTATTTTTAAATCCAAGTATAACTAATGAAACGTGTTAAATTGTTTATATAATTGCATGTTGGGGTGGATGCATAAACTATTGGGGCGTATTTCTAAACTTTACACTAACACCTAACATATTTGTCAGTTGTTTGTAGCTGTAGATGTGTAGTATGGATCAAAGCTAAGAAATCTGACTCATACAAGTGAAGTCAAGTCTAATTTATGGCAGGAAAACAGACGAGATGATGCAGGCAGACTCACATTAGGCCTCATACTGGTTGTATGGGGCAACAGTGGCCTGGCCATTGTGTGGCCACACACACACACACACACACACACACACACACACACACACACACACACACACACACACACACACACACACACACACACACACACACACACATGGCCTCTGTATTTACAGAACACGGGTGAGTCAAACTGCCGTAAAGCCCTTGAGCTGTGTGTGACACATCGCCCCTAGTGAAGAGTCCGTCCTGCGCTCCAACCCCAAATAAAGACATCGGCCAGCGCATTGTTGTCACAAGTTCTTCTCCTGCTGTCAGGCCAGGGAAGATGAAGCGTTTTTCTGCGGCTGGTGTTTAGGAAAACCTTCCAGAGCACAGAGTCCTGGAAAATGTTTGTATGCTGTATGATCATGGAAGCAGCTTTGGAAAGTGTATTTGTCTTACCTCATGCTATTTCAATTCAGGGAGATGGGAATGTGCATGCAATCCAACTGTTTTTAAACTCTCACTTTAAATCTCTACATATGTCATACAGGCTGGTTTTATATTTTGATACTAACTATAAAGATAAATCAGATTCAACTGAGGGGGCTTTATAGTTCACTGTCAGCATTTTTCAGATGTCACATGACAGAGGATATCTATATAAACAAAGCTGTGCTACAACTTTACAGCTATTCTGGGGAGATTTGAAGGGTCAGGGACACCAGCTCCCCACTGTGCTTGTTCAGCTGATCTGAGTGACAAACAGGAAGTTAAACTGTCATGTATTTGGATCCTTTCAAAGTGTGGTGGTCACACAGTTGTGTGCTGCTGCACCCCTTCAGCGTCCACATGCATTGTCACAATAAGTCTTGCTCACCGTCGCGATTACAAGTTTTCATAACAGTCATATTATTCTAACACATTAAAGAATTTTCAAAAGCAAAACCAGATCCTTCAGATAAATATGAACGACTAATGAGCCGTGTTATGTTTTCCGTGTGTTGTGATGTCACCTCAAACATCTTATTTAGAGCATGAAACAGTTTGATTGTGAAGAGATGAGTGTTTTCTATTCCTCATTCTCAGCGTTGATGGTTTTCATTTCAGCTGTGAGATTGATTTAAAACTGGAACATCACTGACTGCAGTATACTCTGGGTGTCGAGAACCACTCATATATTTCAGGTAAATAATGAGGTTTGGCTGATCAAGTCTAAGATGAACCATAACCATTCAGCTATGCTATTCTCTACACACTGTGTCCTGTCTGATGCCTGTGCTGTATTCTTCCTTGGAGATTTAATTTTGCCGTGAAGATCCAGATCTAAAACGAATACTTCTTTAAAGGTGACCTATCATGCAAAATGCAATTTTGTACGTCTTTTATACATGTGTCCCCGGTGTTCCAGGGAACTCACCAAGTGTCAGAAAACACAACCATCTCTATTTTTCCTCCATACCCAAATCTCTTAAAAAGGGGCTGCAACGGATCTAATACAGACTGATCCAGATTTGAACACTTCTGTGACAGAAGTGGCGCTACTTGGGCCAACTCCACCAATCAGGAGGAGACAGCCACGGACATTGCAGTTCCAAAGCGCTGGAGACGCTGTAGTACATATGCCAGGCCTGTAGATGGTGCTGTTCTCACAGAATCAGCCCATGCAAAGACAGTGTTAAATTGAGCGAAATGAGGAATGGCTAAAATGCATGATCTGTTTGGTATTTTGAAAAATAAAAACTATAAATATGCCTTATATAGGTATGGTCCTATATTATTCAAATATAGCATGATAGATCCACTTTAAAAGTACCTCAAGCATGATCTTCCCCATGTGTAACCAAGTATATTTAATCTAGTACTCTGAAAGCAAAGGTGTAAAATATCCCAGAATCTAGAAAGATTCAGTTACATTTAAAAGATATCCAGCTGGAAAACCCAGCCCAGTGTTGCTGATTCTTGTCCTGTGATAGTAGCAGGCACTTACTCCAACATAAACAGTGAACATGGCTGTTGTTAGTACTCACACCCTTTCTGTGAGTAGCTTCATGAAGACTGGTGAAGGGCATTGAGAGCCGGGCAGAGTGCTGGAAGTTTGTTCAACCATTTTTTCCAGGCTGGATGAAATTCTTGGAATAATATATAATAAAACAAGTTATTTGACATTCATATAGGATTTGGCGTCATCTATCATTGAGGTTGCAGATTGACACCAACTCATTACCCATCTGCTCACACGCCTACTTTCATATTGTTTACTCAAACATCTGCATGGATTTAGATGAAACCACTAAACAGAATATGCCTATAGTTTGAAAATGTGCTCCATGACAATATCAGGGTAAAGTTTAGACCATAATAAATCAGGCAGGGTTAAGCCATTCTTCATAAAGGGGACTATAGATAATTCTGTTCAGGTGCTAATACGATTTTGAATGCAGGATTTTTGAGTTCTTACTCCACCGCTGGACTTTCCCTTTTATACGAAAAATACATTTTTTATACCTATGTAAATATACATTTTTTTTTTATTAGAACCACATAGTGAGTCAATTTCTATTTGCACATACAGTATTTGTTTTGCTTTCATTCTATTTTATAAATTGACATATACATTTTCCTTTTGCAGCCAATCTGATTTGGCCATGACACCCACCTTGAGAAAATAATGTTGATGCCTTAAATCAACATTGTTTTAGAAGACAGACAGAAGAGATGGCCCCTCACTTTTAGTATTTATATCTAGCAATATAAGTAGAGGTGGAAATGAGTATCTATATAAAAAAGATGAGGGTAAAAAAGGTGTGTACCACTTTACAATAAGACTACCCTTATAAAGGGTTTACAAATAGTTTGCAGTTTATTTATTAATTAGGTTGTGAACACTTTATAAATCATTAATAAGCTTTTATAAGACATGAGATAAACAGGGTGACTGTGACCGGTTGCTTGCCAAATAGTGAGCCCACATTTATCTGTACTGCTAAGCCTTATTAGAAATGGTAGTAACTCATTAACAAATGGGAATATTTTTTACACTTTACAATAAGGCTCCCTTTTGGCAACTATAAATGTTAGTACCTCATAGATAAATGGTCATAAGGAGATGCCAAGACACATCAAGATGGATGGGGGGAGAATAAACTCAGTGAACAACAGACACCAAGGATGACGGCTGATGAAGAAGACGAAGTAAGCTGGGTAACCAATATAAGACTTAGGAGCAATTTGGGTTGAAGTGTCTCAGGGTCACAACGACAAGCTGACTGCAGTGGGATTTGAACCTGGTTTGAACCTGTATGATAAGTATGTTAGAACTGGTTTATAAATGGTTCTTAATGATTAATAAAGTGTTTACAACCTAATTAATAACCTAATTATAAACCCTTTATGAATCCTTTATAAGGGTAGTCTTATTGTAAAGTGGCACCAAAAGGTAAAATCTCTTGTCGTGTAACGTCAAAACTGTGAAATCATTTTCTCCCTGCTTTCAGTTGAAGATTCAGCTCTATTTCACCTCCAGACTCCAGTCCAACATGTGACACCATCAAGACGTCTGCTCCAGGACAAATTATCCAAAAGTTGTGACCATATCCTAATATGACAACATGAACAATAATAATTAAAAAAATAGTTTAAAGGTAAAACACTTTTTCCCTCTTGGTTATTTCACTCATGCAAATAATTCATATCATTGTGCTTTTAATCGTTTTCTGTTAAATCTAAATTAAATAGAGGTGTAAAGTGAGAAATTGATTGCTTGAAGTCTTAATTAATGTGAAAATGTTGTTTTTTCTCTAAACTATCCAATTCCACTAATTAAAACCCTTTTTTTCCATCCCTCTGCTGTCTGTGTTGGATAGAAAATATTTAAAAATCTCTGAACTTTTACTCGATTACTTTTTGTTTATCCTGTTATCTGTCTTTCAACAACAGCATCATATTTCTAAGGAAGCTAGCCTGCCTTCGGGCACTTTGTGGCGCTGTTGACAAAAGATCTGTATCAACTTATTTCCATATTAGTAGATGCATTTGATGCCCAAAATATTGTCGTTTCCCCCCCCCTCCTCATCCCTCTGAGGTCATTGAGCCACAATCAGATTTTTTTTCTCCAAATACTCCGCTGGATTTTCTGAGACCATTTATTTTTAAATACCAAAATAATCATTCCTTAGAGGAAGCGTATACGCCATTCAACACATTCATATTTCAACTGCATTTCAATGCATCATCAGTCATTTTCAGCACTGTTTTTCCTTTTAATTTGCTTTTAAAAACCATATATTTGTCGGTTTGCTTCTTGAACAATCGGTACTCAACGAGCTTATGGTAATTCTTCAGACCAACAACACACATCTATTATTATCATTATTATTATCTGTTCTTTCGAGTGTAACTTAATGACTTTTTCCTTGCACGGCGGATGAAAGACCAGATGTTGTCACAGTCTCTTAGAAAATCCTTCATCTGCCACAAAAAACCCTCAGTTAGTGAAACCAAAGACAAAGAAATGAGGTCACTAAGCTGGGTTAGCATACATTACATTTTCTGATAGGCACAAAGTCAAAGAAATAAGCCTTCACATAATCAGAGCTATGGCTGAAATAGCTAAAAACTATAATAATAATAAGACCCAAAGTCACATTTAGCAAGATCAGCAGATTTTGTCATATGGTTGATGGTTTCTTACAAAAGAAATGTATAACCAACCTTTCCTTTCTGCCCTGTTTCACATTTTGTTTTCCTTAAGCCTTCCCTCCAGTTTAAACAGCTACAAGAAAATCCACATTTGCATGATTAATAAGTTACATTTTATACATACACACATACAGAGGGGAGCCTGGAAGTTGCTTGGCACATTCTCATGCTGGACCAACCTCCTACAATCTAAATAACTATACTGTACAGGACACAGTAAAACAGGTCTTCCCCACCCCCCCGTCTCCCCGTTGAGTCGCGAGGCTTCAGCATGTACAGGAGAGGAAGCAGGACGCCTGCATTAGAACTTCTCTGCTTAATCGTCCTGCAAAAAGGAGGGCATACACAACCCCAATGCACTAGTTAACATGGAACAGCTGTACATACAGTATCGTCACATACTGATAACGTTTAGATTCATAATTTAATCTGTATATACTGTTACTATGCTGGTACCAGGTATTCACAGTGACTCTAAAATTAAATTACAAGAGGAAGTTTTGTACAAGAAACAAGAGAGTCTGAGTGAACGTTTGGCATCCCTTTTTGTCGGGGTTTAGTTTGTGGACAGTTCGGTTTTATTTCGGTGGGATTCAGGAGAGCTGCCTGGGCTTTTTTCATTGGCACTGGAGGAGAAGAGCTCCGACTCCTCTGAACACGCATTTCAGTATCAGCGCCATCAGCAGTGGACACAAAAAGGTGAGGTAAGGGGCGAGGTCATATCCACCTCCTTATGTTGACATAAATGAAGTACAGTATGTGCCCCGTCCAGTGATGATTTAACAACAACAAAAAAGGGCAAGAACGACACAGAAACACAGTTACTCACACATCGGGGTGGAATGGTAAGACTTCACCTACCTCATCACCCATACTAAACAATTACCCGAAATAGTCAATGTAGACTTCCGCCAAACAATATTCTGTATTATCTCCAGGTGCTTTATTCTGACACCTAAAGCTATTTTGCCAGCTGGAGAAAAAAAAAAAAGCTGCCTTTTGGCGTTTGTGTTTCAGGCCAGCAGGAGGAGGTCTTCTACAGTATGGCTGCTACAATAGTGAGGTTAGAAGAAAACAGCTACAGGCAATCATGGGAGGAAGCTGAAGCAGTTCTTTTCCTGCCATTGTCTGCGTCTTCACGAGAGGTTTGACCCTTTTCAGTATCCCTTTAATACTGTTTTCATACATACTTCCAGGAGGAACAAGCATGCTCGGTTCTTTTTGTTTCCAGTTTACTTCCTTTTCATGTACGAGCTTTTTAAAGATAGTCTCTCCCTAAAAACTGAGACGTGAATGGGCAGAGAGTGATGTCCTTACATAACAGGCCTTGCTGTGAGGCTAGTCAGTTAGCATCATTCCATCTTTTGAAGTAGAATGCTGCCGACAGGCCTGTCATTGACACGTTCCCTTTTTTTTTTTTCTCAAGGCCTTCCACACTATCAGCGCCGGGGCAGAGCCACACTCAGACATTGCGACTACACGCTTGGCAGAGAGGAGAGCAATTACTACCGTTCACATATATTATCGGTGATATATATATACACTTTTGGTCATTTCAGATAAGACACCACCAAACATGCTATACAGTGTCTCTCAGTCTTAATTGCCACTTTTTATGCAAGTGCTATTTAGCCCAGCTCGTCAAGTATTTGAAGCAAGGTACAGGAAGAGATGCACACAAACAGACGCACACGCACACACACATCCACGCACGTGCTGTATGGCACACACTGAGAGAAGCACTCTGGCATAGCAGCAGCCCCCAGAGCTGGTCAGTCTATGAATGTTGAAAAAATGTATTTTCTTTCTTTTTTATGGGTTGATTTTGCATACTCCCTCCCCAAAATGCAGGTCCAGGATTCAAGACTGTGAGAGTACACAGATCGAAGAGGATGCGTGTGTGTCTGCCTTACGAGCAAAATAAGTATACTGAGCGTACAGTACAAGCCGGTACGGTTTGCATCTCTACGCTGATGTGTGTGTCTCGGTGTGAGGCTAACAGGGCTTGTTGACGTTGCACAGCAGCTCGGTGACTTTGATGAGGCGAGCCACCGTGCTCTGAGACTCCTCCTGCAGCCGCTGGTTGTTCTGCCGGAGGCTCTGCACCTCGGCCTGCAGCACCGCCTTGTCCTCCTTCTCCTGAAAGACATCGGCACACAACAAAACAAAAGCCGTCGCTCAGATCGCTGTGGCAGGCACGGGAGGGGAGCGACAGGTACAGCGGTGGCTTTAAGGAAACTAGTGGGCACACATAAACACAGAGCTTGAAATAAAACAACAGCAACAGTGTAGACCACGCTGCAGTGGAGGAAAAGAAACCCACAATCCAAAAAGGTGAACTACTGAGACACTGAACTGATCATTTCTGTGGCGGAAAATCAGATTTGAAATGACAGGAGTCAAATTTGGGTTTAAGGCTGCTGGTCAGACTGAGAAAGAAACAAATCAGCGGCTATAGGGGATGATTGTTTTTCATTATTGATTTATATTTGTCAATGAATGAAATGTCACGTCAAGAAGTATTGAAAAATTGACAACATATTAGCCCAGAGCCCAAGGTGACAGCTTTAAATTGTGCTTTCCGACCAACCACCCAAAACCCAAATATATTAGATGTACTGATTATATAAAACAGAAAAAAAAGCAGCACATTTGTTTCATTCGTTGCTTCATAAACGACAGACGATTTATCGGTTATTTTAATCAGTTTAATTTTCTTTTGAGCAACTTACTGTTTGAGCATTAAATGGGTATTTTATCATTATTCTTGAGTGTTCATAGACTCAATGAATTGTTGAAAATATTCATTGGATGAATCAATAAAGAAAATAGTATAGTTAAAAATAAATAGAAAATGTTCCATATAGTAGGGAGAAATAATATGTTTATATAATATGTGTAAACACAGAGACAAATACAATATTTACCAAAAGTTCTCAACACAAGATCGTGAGATGTGGTTGACATCTCGACTTTGTGTTGAGAATTTTCCATTTCTGTTTCTGAATTTAAGAATAAGACTAAGGAATTCATTACATACAGTACTTTTACATACATACATTTTTAGAAATGTACTAGAAAATATTGATAACAGCATTAAAGGAGTTGTCGTACATACATTTCTTTTAAAAGTAAGATCTTTTAATATTTAAAAAAAAAAATCTTAAATGTTACTGTACAAATTTACAACAACATAATAAATAAATAAATGCTTTTTGAGTGTTTTTTTGTATTTAATGCATCCACAGTGAGCCCGCTGGGACTTAAAATGGCCGAATAGCCGGGAGGTTTTCTACACGTAAACAAAAGCCTGCATGAGAAAATACAAATCGTCTCGCACAGAAGCGATAGAAGCTGAACAATCGAAACTCTTTCTCCTACCTGCTTACTCTCCCGTGGGGCTCACTGAAAAAGTAACTACAGAACAGAAGAAACATTCATGAAAGTCAAAGCACCTTTTGCAGGTCATCCTGCAGCCTCTTCAGCATGGACTCCAGCTGAGACACCTTCTCCTCCAGGTGGCCTGGAGAGTCACTGCAACGAGAGAGGCAGTGACACTTCGTCAACAGCAATCACAGCATTCAGAATCAAAAGGGCAGACCTGGGTTAACGAGCGACGAATCAACAAGATGGATGTCTTCACTGTTGCATTTCATATAAAGTATTTTATTATATTTCTTTAGTAAAGTTATATTCCCCTGTTATTTCGCCTTTCTTCGTCTCATAGTAAACGTTTCCATTACTGTGATCGAGCCGTTCATCACCGTGGTGGAGCTGAAGACTCCCGTTCCATTAATGTTCAAATTATAGATCAATTGATAGCAATTGCTAACATTGACAGGCAGACCCTTTTCAAGTGAACAATACCATCCCATCATGCATTTCCTCTGACTGCTGTTATACAAAACAACGCTCCTTGTCTCCTGGTGATCGGAACAGCTTGATAATGCTTTGGATTGAACAAATCAACATTTCTTCGGGATTTAAGCGTATTTTTAAGTTTGAAAGTTAACCATAAAGCCAAATATATTTGTGTTATGATTAGTTTAAAGCAGGGGTGCCAAACTCAATTTCATTGCGGGCCACATCAGCATTATGGTTGCACTCAAAGGGCCGGTGGTAACAATATAAATATACACATATAAATATATATAAAATAATGTATTATATGACATTATTTCCTCTGAATTGGATTATTATCGGATAGGGTAATAACTTAGTAATTAACTACGTCTGAAAGCAAAAGTCCAGGGCAAATAATTGCAAGTTTCGTCCCACAATGCATCTCGTTTTGTGACGTGCACACTGAAGAAACTTGCAATTATTTGCCCTGGACTTTTGCTTTCAGACGTAGTTAATTACTAAGTTATTACCCTATCCGATAATAATCCAATTCAGAGGAAATAATGTNCTCAGCATCCGCTCGCTGTCTTTTTATCATCTCTAACCTAGTGCAGATTTCAGGACTCTGACATTGAGATGTGGAGAACAGTATGTGTGTGTTCCTCGTAACAAGTGGCGAGGAACAATCAAAGGTTTATTTCAAGATTTCTTCAGGGTTTGGTCTATTTACACCAAACAAGATGTGTGGTAGTGTTAATAAAGTCCAATATTATCTCGATTGTTAACAGTTGTCTATTGAGAGGCGAAGTCCCTCCCTTCTGCTTCCGCTCCATGGGACCTTATTTCGGAGAAATTTTGTATTGAAGTCAATGGGGAGAGAAAGATTATCTTTCGATCCCGTTTGAATTGTGCCATGAATTACACATATGATGTTTGTTAATCTTAAAAAATCATTTCCATGTCAAAAAAGTCACAGTTTGTCGTAAAACTGTTGAAATATAAGACTATGAAAAATACGCGACTAGAAAGACTACAAATCCCAGAATCCCGGTCCCGCATGCTGGCTCTTACGGAACCAACTAACTCCCCTTGTGTGTATGTACAGCTCTCAACATGCCCAGACTTGGAGTGATTTTCACCTCTTTTAATACTTTTCGCCTCATTCTGAAAGAAAGAAGTGAAATGTGCCAACGTGACGGCCATCTTGGTGTGTGGTGCGAGACGGGAGATGTAGTTCATTGAGCGGTTTCACACAAAAAGAGTGTTACATCACAGTTTTACGACACATTTTAATTTGTTTGACTTGCAAAATTATCTTTCAAATTGACAAACATCATATGTGTAATTCGTGGCACAATTCAAACAAGATAATCTTTCTCTCTCCATTGACTTCAATACATACTTTTTCCGAAATAAGGTCCCATGGAGGTCCACCGGAGAGGGAAGGACTTCGCCTCTCTATCAAGATTCATCTTTGACTTTAGACACCCCTCCCCCACCCCCTTCATCAACTGTAACAATAATTATTTGAAACATGCACCTGGTCTCACCTCCCTCTGCCCCCCCTCCCCCGACGGGAACTCAACCTTTCTCAAAGAATATGTACACTAACACTTGAACCTGAACACAATATGTGGTGTAATGTGTTTTGGGCATAACATTAAATTACAACAGGATTGTACGGTTATGAATGCATTATAAGTTAGTTATGATGTAGTTAAAACAGCTTTTGAACACAACACAAGGGTTAATAGTATAATAAGATGTCTTTGTGGTAATCAATGGTGGAAGCAGTATTCTTATCCTTGGCTCTAGTCAAAGGGCAAAAACAACACTGTGAAATACACCACTACAAGTAAAAGACCCGCAATTAAATGTTACTTAATATAAATATGTGTAAGTATTATCAGTTAAAAAATTATCAAAAGTACTCGTTCTATATAATAATTGGTCCCTGGAGGCTCTGTGAGGAACTGGAGATCAAAGTCAACTTTATTGTCAATCTTTCAGTTTGTGTGGACAGACAGAGAGATCGAAAAACCGTTTCCCACAATCCCGCATACAAAAATACAATATGTATAAAATATGTATATCCTATGTATACACAATCAGCAGACACATTTATACATATGCACACATTAAGATAAAAGCACAACAATCAATATATACAAAATAACACTTCAATATCTTTGGGAATGTCCATTAGTGCAAGATTGATCTGCTCACCTCTCTTACTGTAATATAATAAGATGGCTTTGTGGTAATCGTGGGTGGAAGCAGTATTCTTATCCTTGGCTTGGTTAAAGTACAAAAACTACACTGGGAAAAACATCACTACAAGTAAAAGTCCTGCAATTAAACCGTACCTAAGTAAATATGTGTAAGTATTATCAGTACAAAGAAAAATCAAAAGTACTTATTCTGTATAATAATCGGTCGAGCCAAACGACTCGCTGCACCCGCACTGCGAGGGGGACCCAAGTTCCAATCTGCAGAAACACGTGGGTTTGCTATCCTGGCTCCAAAATGGTGGAATGAGCTCCCCATTGAAATCAGGACAGCAGAAAGCTTACGACTCCACTTCGAGCAATACAATGATACAAAAAAAAAAAACGAACTTATATAATAACTAAGCACTTATATACTAACACAGGACTGGCTTATCTAAAGCCTATTGAGTATTTCTTTAAATGGTTTGGCTCTATGAAACCTAATGATTCTGCTGTGTTCTACTTTGTATCTTCTGTCAAGGGGTGAACTCAGAGGCATGAACTCAAATGCACAACTCAGACTCAGGTGGTGTTCAAAAATAAAGACTTTTCTGGATTTAGCACAGTAACAAAACAGGGAATCACAAAATCACTCTTTCGAGGAAAAACTAATAGCAATCATCAGGAGCATGAAAATGGAATACGACCATGGAGCAGGCTTGAATGTGGTCATGAATGATAACGAAGAGGCACTGGACAGGTGGGGACTAAAACAATATATACACAAGGTGAGGGACACAGGTGGAAACAATCAGGGCGGGGTAAACAATCACGAACACAGGAGACACACAGGGGCGGGAGCATGGAGTCCTGAAACGAGAGGGAGAATTACTTTTCACAATAAGACTGAGGGCACAGAACAAAGGGACATGACACAACTAATATAAAGAATACACTTTCATAATAAGTTTCCGAGACATGACATCTTCTTGGTCGAATGCACTTATTGGAAGTCGCTTTGGATTAAAAGCGTCAGCTAAATGAAAATGTAATGTTTGGATTAGTATTACTGCTGCATTGAGGTGTATGTTGCATTTTCCTTGTGTAGATGTTAAAGGTTGTGCTTATTTGTTTATATTTGTATACTGGCTTGTTTAATCCACAGCAATGACATCTGTTAAAAGTCAACTGGTCAGTTTTGTGATGATTTCAAAAGGGTTTTAAATAGTTTAAGGTCATTTTTTCTCAATATGTATCAGAGGAGGATACTCAAATAAAACACAAGTACTTTTAATTCCTACTTATATAGAGTAGGTACTTTTGGGGGCTTTCGAGTGTGATTTTCAGGAATCACTGTAGTGGTGTAGTGTCCCCATACTATTGGCTATATAAAAGTATGATGGTTCCACACTCTAAATGAAGGTTAGTTGCTTAAGTAAGTGTATATATATTTAAGGGGCTGTAAAGGCTTGTATGTATGAGGGTCTGTGTAACACAAATAGAGGAATTGACACTAAAGTTGACTTTGATACATTTCAGCATTTACTAAGAAAAATGATCCGTACTTTGTCTCCCTCTGCTTTTTCCTTTTCATTATTTTAAACTTCAATAATGTGGATGATGTTCTCTCCCACAGACCGTAAAGCCGGAGACCCTTCCCAAGCCGGAGTCGACCAGACGGACGGGAAGCTCAGAGACTCAAAGGACAGGTGGGTTGCTACAGAACACTCAGGGGGATCCAGACGGTTCAATACCTCTGTCCTTAGTATCTTGGTTTTCTTTTTGACTGAGTCTTTGCACACGTCCCTTTCCTCAGCTCTACTTCTTTATTCTCTCTCAATTATTTAGACTTTATCGGCCACGTCCAACTGTTTGAGTCAATGCGATGGTTTCTCCCTCTATGAAGAGAATGCTCCTGCTGACTCAGCGATGCACTTCTGCACGCACACGCACAGCTTGCCTGACTCACTGCTGTGGTCTTCTTTTTGTTAAACTCCAGCTCTGATTCATTTTATTCATTATTCTCTCCTCCGTGCTGTGTCTCAACATGGCAAGTGAGCAGAGCTATCGGTCAGAAGTAAACCAGAAAAACGAGTCAATAACAAATAAGTAAACTCCAACGGGAAGCTTTTCCTTAGAAGAGGTCTGAAGGATTCACAAGCACAGTTTATATCGTCCCACGTAGTGTACAGGTCAGAATATGAAAACAGGTGAATAACAGAATTAGATTCAGACGATATGTGTTGACTAAAAGAGACATCCGCACAAATAATCTCTTTGAAATTGCACTTTTGGATAAATTGTACAAATTAGCTTTTAAGGGGACCAATTATTCTCCTGTTCAGGTTCACATTAGTATTGTGCGCCTCTACTGTGACATGTCTCCTTGCTTTAATGTTCAAAAGGTCTTTATTGTTCTCATACTGTCTGTGCTGCAGCACCTCTTTTCACCCTCTGTCTGAAACCAGAGCCCAGTCTGCTCTGATTGGTTAGCTGGCCAGCTCTGCTATTATTGGTCAACCGCTCAAACCTATATAACAGACTACAGGAAAGGGAAAACCCCAGAAAGATAACACGGTCCCTTTAAACCAGGGGTGTCAAA